GCCCCGGGGGCAAGGCTGCGAGGAGCATCCTCCCATGCCAAGGGTTAATTCCTGCCCGAGATGCAGCATTATCCTTGGAATGGTTGAGCCGATCCTGCTGGCATGCGAACGTGTCGTTCTCAGAGACAGAAATACCCTGCACTCCTCCAGCTTGGCCAGGAGTGCAACTCTGGAGCTGAGTGAGCTCTTACTGCCTTTATTGTGGAGAGGATTTTTTTTTTTTCTTTTTAAAATTTTATATGAAAATAAAGTCGCAAGATTATTGCGGGTTCACCTCTCTATTAACAAGCACGGTTTTCTTGCTCTGTTTCCACGCTCTGGGCACAGAGCAGGATGTCTGGGCCTGGTTCCTTCTTCCAGTCATCTTTTCTGCAGCTTCTGAGGGAGCCGAGCAGATGTTCTCAGCTTGGTGGAGGCAGGCCGATCCCTACACACATAGCAGGTGCAGAAGGAGCTGGCACCTGTTAAACAGGAACTTGGAAATGATCTCATCAAGTTTGCAACAGATGAGTCTGTCCTAGTTAAAGCTGAATTCCTGGGGGTTTACACTGTGGTTTGGCAGTGGGAACCTGCCCTGCATTGAATCTGTGTTGCTGAGCAGCAAATTCCTTGTGCCTCATCCGCGAGGCAGTCGGTCTCCACAGCGTCGTTCCTGGAGGACGCGAGCGCCGTCTGTGCCACCGCGCTTCCCGGCGTGCCGCTCCGGGTGAAACCAGGAGGGCCTTCTCCAGGGCGTTTGGGATTCTCTTGGCAAATGCAACCAAGACGGCTCCTCGTGGGAGGGTTTTGGGTTGGTAGAGCACAAATCTTTCCTTCAGCCACTTTTGATACGCCGTGTGGCAAGAGCCATCTCCCAGGGCTCAGCCTGCGAGGGGAAGGGCTGCGTGGGTGGATCTGCCGTCGCAGGCTCTGGAGGTGCCTGCTCTGGTGGGGATTAGATCAAACCTTCGGTTTGTGTTCCTCAGCCTTGAAATATTTCTGCAGAGCTCTTTGGGGCGAATGCCTTGGGTCGTTTGATAGGGGTGTGGGGTGGCTTGGGAGCTCGGACTGAAGGAGATATGCAGGGAAGAGCTGGGAATGTGTGTTGGCTTTTCTCTGCCAGCACTGAGCAGAGCTGGGCATCAGCTTTGAAGTGCTGGGTCTGTGCAGCGCCAGCTGAACCCTCTTCTCCAGCCCGGACTCGTTTGCCATCCACGCTGACTCATGTGGATGTGGGTATGGGCTCAGTCCAGCACTGGAGCATCCGGCTGAGGGGTCGTGGCGTGGAACTATGTTCTCCTAGCCAGGATGGACGAGATACAGGTGAGGTGTAAGGCCCCATTCGCTGCTGATGTGCTGAGCATGGTCTTCTGATAGCATGGACACGTTGAGTCATCTCCCCAGACCAGGCTGGGATCATCAGGGCAGCTCCGTGAATGAGGGGTGGGATTATCTGCTCTGTCTCCCGAGTGCAGTCAGATGACCATACTGTTAGAAACAGATTTAATATCCTTAATCGGTTTAATATGAACTCTGTTATCCCCACAGATAAATGTTATTCCTCTACCACAATAGCTGCTGGACTGCCTCTTCTCTTCGTGAGCCTGCTCCTCACAGGCTGTGCTGCAGCCACGGGCGGGCAGGGTCTCCCAGGCCATCCCCCTGCTCCGTGCCGCTCGCTGCAGCACCTTGTCTTGAGCGTAGCAGCTCCCAGATGTCCCAGGAGAACGGGGCTCTGCCTTACTCCCTTGTTCATGCTGTGACTGGGCTGGGAAACGGAAGGTGGAAGCACACCCTGATCCTGCCAGCAGCGAGAAGCAGGTGAGTTTGCTTTCTCAGAGAGGCAGGGGCTGTTGATGAGGACGCAGGTTTTTATTTATGCAGAGCTAGGGCTCGCATCTCAGCGGCGATTCGCTCTTCGAGGACGAAGCTGGTGTCTGTTGTACTTGTGTTGTTCAAAGGACTCAAGGCAGGGACTGGGATCCAGCTCCTGGCAAGGGTCGCACCAGTTCCTGGCACTGGCACGTTGTTCAGCTCCTGCTTCTCTTGTTCCAGGCCCTGCCCGCCTCCCCGGTCTCCTGCAGAAGGGACAAACAATGCAAAATGGGGCTCCAGTCTTGGCCAGGACTCACTGAGAAAGTTGTTGTGGGCTCAGGTTTCAGGCTGCTGTCAGTGCTGAGAGGTTTGGGGATGGGGAATGGCACTTCCCTCCATCTGCCCTCTGCTAATCCCCAGACAAACGCAGCTCTTCCATCTGTGCAGCCGGAGCTGCGGAGCCCATCACACCAGCCACTTAATCTAAATGGCTTTGGCCAAAGATAAGGTCATTAATTACACTGGGATTAGAAAACAGTACAGGCCTGGCATGGCTTGGCTCGCCATCGGTTGGAGTCCTCAACACCCTGGCCCAGCTGAGCATCGCAGCCGGAGAGCTCGAGCTGGAAGAGACCCGTGCCCTCGCTCACGGGGCATCGTCCCCAAGGCGCTGCCCGTCCTCGGAGGGGTCCCCTCGCTCGGGCACCGGCGTTCCGGCATGGCGCTGGGGTGGGCTCCTGTCCCCCGGCCCCTGGCAGGGCTGGATGCCAGGCAGAGTTGGTGACGCAGGTCCCGGGAGAGGAGCGCTGGGGTCACGGCAACCCCGGCTGCATCCCCGTCGCTCGCTGCCTCCAGCCTTGCCCTGCCTTGGCACCACGTCACGCCTGGCCCCGGCTCGCTGCCCGCTCAGGAAGGTGGGACTGGCCGAGCTCCGCTGCCCTCGCTTGTGGCCGCCATCCCTGGAGCTCAAAGCAGCCAAAGCCGCTTTGCTGATCTCACATCCAACGTCTGTCCGTGGTGGTCGAGGACTTGTGCTCGCGTCCGTTTCCTCCACCTTTCGGTTCCCTTTTCTTACCGCGTTTTGGCTGCAAAAGGTTCACGGTCGGCTCATCCTGCAGGAAATTTCTCATCCCTGCGGCGCTGCCCTTCGCTGGGGTGGGACGTGCCGCCTGCTCTGCCCCGCGGGGCGCTGCGTGGGGGGCAGCCGGGGCTGAAGCCACGGATGTGACATGGGTTTGGCCCCAGCCGTCCCCTCGTAAGGGTGAGGCAGCACTGCAGGGGCCGGGGGGGGGACGTCACGGGCGGCCGGGCTGCGGCTCTGCGCCAGGAGCCGGCCGGCACCGGGGCACAGCTGCCACCTCCCCCGGCACCGGTGACCAGCTGGTGTCTGTGCTCCTGTTTGCTGGTGGGTCTAAAGGATCCGGCCATCCCTTAACCCCCCCCCCCCTTGGAGATCCTGAGTGGTGACACTGTCCCGGCTCTTCCCATCCCAGTTCCCACGCCGTGGGGATGATCGCGTCCCAGTTCCTCGGACAAGCTGGGGACCGCCTGGGGGATGGTGTCGCCTGGGGACGGCAGCTCCTGCAGACACGGGGCAGCTGCAGCCACCGAACTGAGCCGTGTCCTGGCCTCCTCATCAGCTCCCAGCTGGGGTAGTTGTGCCACGGAGCACGAGGGGGATTTAATGAAGCCCCGGGTGATGGGCTCGGTGGGAGGGAGCCCTCGGGGCCTGCTCGGGGTCAGCAGGGCTGGCTGCCCTCGCTGCCATCACAGGGCTGGTGGGCGAAGGTAACTAATGGGGAAACTGAGGCACGGCTGATGCACGGAGTTGCTCTGAGAGCAGCCGGAGCTGGAGCAGGGCAGGGTGTTTCGCATCCCGTGGTGCCTCGGCGGCGTTTTGGGCAGGCTGCGTGGAAGCCGTGTCGCAAGAGCCTAAAAATAAAAGGAGCTGTTGGCCGAGGTTGTGCAACGGCGTGTGTGCCCTGTGCCGCGCGGGAGTTGGGCGGCTTTGGCGGCAAAGCCCGGGTGTGCGCGGCCGGATCCTGGCGCCGGGCCCAGGAAATGCCGGTATCCGAAGGGCTGGGGGCTGCCAGGTTTCCCCAAATCTTTGTCCCTTTGTGCTGCTCACGATTCCCCCGGGGCTGCCGCGGGTGGGGGGTGCTGGTGGGTGCCTGTGCGGATTTGGGGACATGGGGGCCGAGCCGGGCTGTGGTGGGTGGGACGGGTGTCCCCATGGTGGCACCCTGAGCAATTCCCGGGGGGGGGGGTCCAGAGCTCAGGGGGCTGTGGGGACTCTGCCCACGCACCCTCCAGCACAGGCTGGCGACAACGGTCATCACCCATTGCGCAGGCGGGGAAACTGAGGCACGGGCACGCCACCAGCGAGCCACCCTGCACAAGGGCTCTGTCACATGTGGGGTGCCCGTTGCCCCCCCCCCAGCAGCAAGGCGGGGGGGCTGGCAGTGCAGGCGGGAAAGGCCGCGGGAAGGAGAGCTTTGTCCTGTTGGCGGGACACCAAACCCCAGGGGGGGACTTGGCCCCATGCCCCATGAATGTGGCCGCGGCGGGACGAGTCCAGGGGAGTCCCTGGGGGGGGGGGGGGGGGGGGGGCACAGCCCCTGCCAAGGGTTGGCACGGGGCCCTGCGCTTCGGGGTGTCCCCCAGCTCGGGGGGCTGTGGGTGGGGGGCTGAGGCCAAGGGGGTCCCCCCACAATGGAGCTGGCACCGGGAGGGGGGGCCACCGGGGCTGCTTTGTCACGGTGTCACAGGGCCATCTGCCGGCAAAGGCACGGGACCCGTGGCAGCCAGCCACGGCCTCCAGCAGCCTCCCAGTCCTCCCAGTCTGCAGGTGCTGGGGCACCGGGGGAGGAGGGTGCCCTGGATGAGCTGGCTTAGGGGCAGCTTGGGGGGGTGAGGGGCGGGGGGGTCACCCTGGGGGCCAGCCCTAGGCTGTTGTCCCTCCAAGAGCTCCCGGTCACTGGCAGTGTCACAGTGGGGTTGAGACGTGGCTGGGAGATGGGATTTGTCCCAGCAGGGACAGGTCCCCAGGGTGTTACGGAGCGGGGACAGGGTCCCTGAGGGGGGGGGGGTTCAGTCCCAGGGGTGTCACGGATGAGGTTTGTGAGGGTCGAGCACGGTGATCCGGGTGCCTCCGGCCAGTGCAGTGTGGGATGGGACACAGCAGAGACAGCCCCGCTCCGGCCAAGAACAGATTAAATGTCATTTTATTTCACACCCAAAAAAAAATGTAGAAAAGAAGAGGTGAGTGGAGATATAATTACTCATATTAAAAATCTACCAGGTGAGACTGATCCATTTCCACCAGAGTCAGTGCAGATCTGTAGGGATGTTTATTCCTCCTCCTCCGCAGCCGAATGCTCGGGGACGAGGATGGGGATGGGGGTGACACGTGTCCCTTTCCCCCCTCCCCAAGGAGCCCCCGTGCTGCGGGTGCTTGCTGCCACCAGCCCCATTGGTGCAGCCCTGATTGGGTCCATCCTGCCTGGCCCCAGCACCCCCAGCGCGGTGTCCCCATGGTGCCACCCGCACCTTGTGTGCAGAAGTGGGTGTTAATTTGGGGGGGGGGGTGGGAAGGGGGGGGCAGGAGCGCATACTGGGGCAGCCTCAGGCCATTTGGATTTTTGTGTGTGTGTGTGTTTCTGTGTATTTGTTATTGTCCCTTCTCCCTCTGTACAAAATGAGCGGTATGGTCATGGGCGTAGGTGACACGGTGACGTGCGCGGGGTCGGGGCCAGCTCCGGCGGCCGCCCCGCGCTCACTGCAGCAGGGCCCGGATCTGTTTGGACGTGGTGTCATCGTTGAGGTGTCGAGTGGTGTACCTGGACAGAGAGGGGGACAGTCACCCCGCAGCACCCCGACCCCCTCCGCCACCATCCCATAGCACCCTCAGGGGGATGCCACATCCCCCCGCCGCGTCCCCCAGCCTCACCTCAGAGCGTTCAGGAGCCCCTCGGTGCTGGTTGAGGGTTGGTCTTTCAAGACTTTGATGCAGCCTTTCATCTGGTGGGGGGGGAGCGAGAGAGGCTGTGAGAGCCCGGGCGTGCTGCAAGGGGCTGCCCCCCTTCCTCCCCATCCTCCTCCTCGCTGCGTGCAGGGGGATGAGTTCCCCTCTGGACCAGCTCAGACAGAGACATCCCCACAGGGGACATCTGGGGAGAGGGACCCCTGGGTATCACAGCTACACTAGCAGGAGGGGGAGGGCTGTGACTGCCCCCCCATCCCCACCTCGCCCCACGGCCACTCACGTCGATTTTGGAGGTCTTTGCGAAGGCCCCCACGGGGTGGACGTGGTCGTAGAGGATGATGACGCCAACCATCACCCTCATGCAGAAGAGGAGGGTCTCGGTGTTGGTGAAGCGGCTCCGGTACTCCCTGTGCCAAGAGAGGGGCTGGCTGAGCCCGGCGGTGTGTGTGGGGGGGTGGCACAGGGACCCTAGCAGCCAAATGTCCCCCCCCCCCCCTCCGTGTGGGGTACTCACGGGGTCTCCAGCATCACCCTGCAGACGCAGGCCATGGTGCTCAGGCAGTCGGTCGTGTCCTCGATGGGGAGGGTTTTGTTCTGAAACCCAAGAAGTCCTGGCTGCCATTTCCCCTCCTGACCCCCACACGGTGCTGGGGCTGGAGGCGGGGGGGGGGTTCCCCTGCCCTGAGGGTCCCCCCCAGCCTCACTCACCTCTGAAACGAACTTGGTGGTGGCATTGCTGAGTGTTTTGAGCATGGGGGTGGCCTCGGCGTAAAAGAGGGACATCCTGTTGGCCATCTCGTTGTTCACCTCGCTCTCCGCGTCCAGCTGCGTGTGTGGGGGGATGATGGGGGTCACTGGTGTGGCTGATACCCTGGAGCTGTCCCCAGTCCTGTGACCCCCCTGGATGGGGGGGGGGGGGACACAGCACCATCCTCTCACCTGCAGGTTATTAATGCGATTTCGGCTGATGGTCCTTCTGTAGTAGCTGAAGTCATTCTGGATGGCAGGGTTGGTCATCTGCGGAGGGGAGTCTTGTGTTAGGGGCCTGGGGCGAGCCTTGGGGGTCCCCAAGGACCGTGCTGGCTCACAGCTTTTGCACAATCCCGGTGTGGAGACCCTGGGGGCCCCCCCAGAGCCGTCATGCCACGGAGGCAACATGGGGAGGTACCTTGAGCTCGTCGAAGCTGAGGGTGAAGTGGAGGATCTCAGCGAACTGCTTGGCCAAGGCTTGCTCCCTCTCGAGGTGCTGGGTCGGGGCGTAGGGGGGGCTGGTGAGGGCCTCCAGCAGGCTCCGCAGGGCGTTTTCTGGGGATGAAGCACCGCTGGTCCCTGTCCTGCTCCCATCCGCCTCCCTGGCCCCGGCTGGGGAAACTGAGGCACGGGGCAGCGCAGCATCTGCACCTGAGCACCCCCCAGAGCTCCCCCCCAACCTGCCCCGTTCCCACGTCCGGAGAGGGATGCAGGATGCAACGGAGGGGAGGGATGCGGGGAAGGGGGACGGGGGCCTCGGGGCGCTCACCCAGCCGCAGGGAGAACTCGTAGAAGCGTTTCAGCTTGGCGACGAGGGGGCAAACGGCGCTCCAGGCCCTCTCCTGCAGCCGCAGGTCCCCGGGGTTTTGGATGGCCTGGGTGGGGGAGAGCACCAGTGGTTGCCCTGAGCCGTGGCGGGTGGGTGGGCAGCGGGGCCGCCGGGGCTGCACCCACCTCTCGGATCTCCTGCCCAGCGCCCGTGTATGACTGCAGCTCGGCCAGGACGGCCTGTGCCTCCTCCAGCACGGCGTTCACCTGGTTCCACACCGCCGTCTCGGCCTCCGTCGGCTGCGCATCTGCAGGGCAGCGCCCCGGGGAGAGAAACCCGGAGGGCTCTGAGCGGGGCCCTGGGCGGCGAGAGCCGGAGTGGGGTGCCAGCACCCCGTCCCACGGCTCTCCCGCCAGCCCGCGGCCCTTCCTGGTGGGTTTCTCCCCCTGGTCCATCTCCTTGCCCGAGCTGGAGCCAAGCCGCGGAGAGGGGGGGCAGGTGGGGGGGTGAGTCCTGGCTGCCCTGCGACCGCGGTCCTGCTCGTGGGGGTCCCCCCAGCAGCCCCCAGCCCCGGGCTGGCCCCAACAGGCTGCAAATTGCCCCGAGGAAGAGGTGCGGAGTGATAGCCCGCGGCCATGGGTCTGCCCTGGCAGCCACGGCCCCCCCTCCCCGGGGAGACCCCCCGGACAGCAAAGGTGGGGGGAGGACGTCTGGGATGGGCGCGATGCGATGGGCGACGGGTACGAGAACTCAAAATGACGTGGATGTGGAACTCAGAATAAGTACGAAACAAAAAAGGAAAATAAAAATCCCATCTCACTTTCAAAGTCAAGGAAAAAATTAGGGCCTTGGTCAAGTTCGTTATAAGTCAACACTTTAAGAAGGTTCCCCATGTGAAACCTGCAAGAGAAGAAACAAGAGGAAAAAAGCATGATGGTGAGGTGGCGCTCGGGGAAGAGGTGCTGGGCTGCGGGCAGCGGCCGCCGGCGGCCGGAGCCCCCGTCCTCCCCCCGTGGGTCCCGGGGGGCTCGGGGTGCTCCCGGCTGACCGGTGGGTGACCCCGCGGCTGCTCCTGGCCCCGGGCTGCAGCCTCTTCCCCCCCGCGATGGTGATGAGCGCTGGCGGATGGGGTGATGGAGAGGAAGGAGCGAAGGGAGGAGAGAGCCGCCGGGCTCCGGTGTGGAGGGCGAAGCGGTGAGCGAGTCCCCGAAGTCTTGGCTACAGGCGTCCCCCAGCTCTAGCTGCGGAGCCAGCCCCGAAACAGGGGGTCCTGGGGAGCCCCCAGAGCCCCGTCCCTGCACCTGGGGGGCTGCGGAGGGGGCTGGAGGTGGGCAAAGGCTGTTCTGCCTCGAAGGAGCCAAGAAGGTCCCTCGCTGTGGGAGCAGGGCGGCTGTGTGACCCCAGCCCCAGCTATTTTGGGATGTGCCGGTGCTGGAGGTGGTGTGGTGAGCTGTGCGTGGCCTCTCCCCGCCGGGGCCAGGGCGAGTGGTTGCTGCTTGCACTATTTTTACCCCCCTCGCTCTTGCTCTGAGCTGTGCCCCGAGAAGAAAGCGGGGGAGAGGGAGGAAGCGGGGACCACGGGGCTGCGCTGGGTCTGGCATCCTGCCACGATGGCCACCATCTCCCCTACGTCCCCGTGTCCAGCCTGGGAGGTCCGAGAGCCGGTGCTCTCCTGTCCCAGTTAGCCCAGGCCAGTTGGAAGCTGGGGCAGGTCCCCCAGGCTGAAATAGGGACCCCGATCCCCATCCCTCGGGTGCAGGTGACACGGATCCTTCCCTCCTCCTTCCCCGGCACCCCTGGCCTCCAGGCTGTCCCCGCCGTGGCGGTGGCAGGGGACATGCCACATGGCCACCCGGTGCCGTCGGCTAACAGCAATGGGCACGTCCCCGAGGTCCTCGTGCGCCAGGTCCCGCTGCCAGGGTGCATCCTGCATCCCCGCCACTCAGCTGGGGACATCCCCCTGCACTTTCAGGGACGGGGCATCTCTCGGGGTCCCGCTCCCTTGCCCCACTCAGCCCTTCGTGGGGCACGTCTGGGGCTGCCCCGAGGCGTCTGGGGACACGGGGCTGCTTGGGGACACCGTGCCTGTCCCCATCTTACGGAGAGCAGCCGCGGCGGCGGCCCTGGCCCCCTCCCCGCGCCCACCCTGCTCACGGGACTTACTTTCAAAATCCAGGAAAAAATGAGGACAGTTTTCTAAATCTTTGCCCAATACCTTTATCAGGTTGCCCATGGCCAGCAGACCTGAGCGAGAGAAACAGAACAGAGTGGAACAGCACCGGCACCGCCGGCCGGACACCCCGGCATGCCCGAGCCCCCCACCGCCGCCGCGGCACCTACCTGCACCCGTCCCGCCGGGCTCAGCACCCCGCGGCCCCGCTGTCCCCAGCCCGCACCCTCCGGGCCGGGGCACGTGGGTGCGAGCGTCCGCCGAAACGTGGCGGCTCTCCCCGGCCCTTCCGCCGCTGCCGTTTGCCGAGGCGGGGAGGGAAGCGGGGCGCGGGTTCGCGAGCGTCACTCTTCCTGTGGGCACCCCTGGCCGCGCCGCCTCCTCCGAGGCACCCCAATTCCCCCGCCCCGGCCCCCCACGCTCGGCCAGGGGACGGGGAGGGGGTGCTGCCCCAGGTGACCCCCGTGGGGTCATGACAATGCATCCCGGGCGATGGGGCCGGACACCCCCCACGGACAGGGGAAGACCTCAATTGGGATTTCTACCCCACAGACTCGGTTTGGGGGGTCTGGTGCCCGTACCGGAGCATCCCACCCACCCCCACGGCCACGGCTCTGAGTCCTTACCTCAGTGCCCGGTGCGGTGGCTACGGCAGGAGCAGGGGCTGTGCCACCCACCTGGATCACTTCATGGGCCGGCGGGGACCTGTGGGCAGGAGGGCGAGAGGGTCAGGCCACCCCCCCCCCCCCGGGCACCTCTGCACCCCGGGGACCCACCGGTGGGTGACCAGGCGGGGAAGCACGGTGGGACGCTGGCTCTTCCTGCCACAGCTGGCAGCCCTGCACGCTGCCGCTAGCCTTCACCTTATTTGCCTCGATTATATTTTTATTGCCAGCAGCCCGGTGTCGCCGGGCTTCCCTCCACACCCCCTGGGGGACTTGCCAGCAGCTGGGGGACAACCCCAGGGCTGAGCCATCTGTCCCCATCTTTCCTTGGAGAGGCCAAGACCCCCAGGGATAACTTTCCCGGCGCTGCTGGTTGGGTTTGCTCTTTTCCACTCGTTGCATGAAGATCCCTTTATGCTGCTGCTGAGCCACAACCCAAATCCTGCAGGCACCGCGATGCTCCCCTGGTTCCCCCGTTCCCCCCCCCCGTTTCCTACAGGGATGTGGGAGGGTCAAGGTTGTCCCCACGGTGTCAGTGGGCTCCAGAAAGCAGCTGCGGGATTCAGCAAGCTGTAATTAAGTGCTTGGGTTTAATTAACTTGGCTGGGGAAGGGGATAGGAGGAGCTGGAGGAAGCAGCAGAGGTGGGGAGGGGTAGGGTGGCCTCATGCCTGGGATGGGGCTGCTGCCCCCCAGCCCAGCGCTCCCTGCTCAGCCCCAGTGCAGCCCCTCGGCATCAACAGTGATGGCTCTGCCTCCCTCCTCCTCCTCCTCTTCCTCCCAGGCCCAGTAAGCAGTGGCTTTACATTGGGACTGCATGGGATGCGCCAGCCTGATGCCAAAATTCAAGCTGCTTTGGGGAAGCCAGGGCACCCAGGTTCCCCACTGCACCCCCCTGCCTCAGTTTCCCCACGCTCCTACCCCACGGCGGGGCATGAAGACACTCAAGTCTGCCCTGGTGCAGTGACCCTGGGGTTCGTCCTGTTGGGTGCTGGTGTGTTTTGAAGGGGTGCTGGGCCCCACAGGATGGTTTGGGGGGGGCCCTGGGGTGCCTGGGGCAGCCGTGGGGTGGGAGATTTGCACCCGCTCTGCCCCGGCATTTGCCTCCACGCTGTGATCAGCGTGCGGGCGTCCCCGCGCCGCAGTTGTCCTTGACGGGTGGCTTGGGGCTGGGATTTGTCACTGCTGAACTCTGCCTGTGCCCCGGCGTGGGGGCATGGGTGGGTCCCCACGGTCCCCAGCGTGGGGACCCCCTGGCATGACCCCTGAGCCATGGCACAGGCGTTGAGTGCCAGGTGGGAGGAGGAGAATCGCTGCAGCCCCCCTGGTCTGGAGGGGCAGCTCCGTTTGGGGCTCGGCCCCTGATTTGCACCATTTTCTTGGCCTTGGGTGCCTACAGCCCGCGGTGGCCCTTTGCCTGAGGAGCCACGGCATGTGTGTGTCCCCCCCCCTCCCCGGGGTGTCTGGTGGGGAGGGCGAGGGGCTCCCTCCAGCGCGGGCCCCCCATCGCCATGAGGCTGAACTGGGGGAAGCTTGTGCCCCAAATTCACCAGGAAAGGCACCCCACCCCAAGACTGCTCTGGCGGAGGGGTGCGCTGCTGGAGGAGGGCTGCCCAAAAGGGGTGTGGGGATAGAGGCGGGGGGGGTGGGGGTGTGTGTGTATGTGTGTGTGTGTGTGCGTGTGTCCCCAGCCACACCCGATGTGGCCCCGGGGTTTGTCCCTCCCTGTGGTGGCTTCCCCGCACCCCAATCCTGCTCCAGCCCCCGCTCCTCTCCCTGCACCGCCACATCTCCCTGCTCCCCCTGAGCACCCTGCCCCACGGGGACCCCGCGGCAGATGTCACCTCCGTGGGGACATCCCAGCTGATGAGGTGAAACCCTCCCCCGGCTCCAGGCAGGGCTAAATCCTGTACCCAGGAGCCTCCCCCCCCCCACCCCCCCCACCCTGGTCAGTGGTTCCCAGGCTGGCCATGCCAAAGGGGCAGCAGTTCCCCCCACCCCAACCCCCCAGGATCAGGCCCATCCCCGTGTCACCTGGGGCCGTTTTGGGGCTGTGCCCCTTTGCTGCGGGCGCAGCGTCGCTGTGGGCACCGCAGGCTGGTGCGGCACCGCACCCCTCAGCTGGGGGCTGGGTGCCCCCCCTTCCTCTTGACTCAGCTCCACATCCCACGGCCCCCCCCTGCCCGTTGGGTGCCCGCTGGGTGCTGGGCCAACAGCCCATCGCTGAGCACCCTCCAGCCACTGCCACCCCTCCCCTCTACCCCCCCGGCCCATGGCCGCACCAGCATCGCTGCAGCCGTTGCAGGGTCGGACACGCAGTGCCTGAAGGATTTTTCATGGGGGGGGACCTTATCCCAGGAACCGGGGGGGCTGGGGCCAGATCCTGCCCGGGGTGGAGTTGGGGCTTCCCGGGGACTGTCCCCCCCCGCCATGGTTTGGAGACCTCCCTGGCTGGAGGGAGGTGTGAGTGCCCCCCCTCCATGGGGCTGAGTCCCCCCCAACCCCGAGCGGGGCCGGTGGGGGTGCTGGGGGTCTCGCTGCGGCTGCGGGTGAGCGGCAGGATTTACCGCAGGGCTGCCGGGGAGCCGAGCCGCAGCACCCACCCAGCGCGGGCGAGCACCCAGCCGTGCACCCACACCCACCCGGGGCCACCGGTGGGGCTGCAGCACCCCGGGGAGGTGTGTGTGTGGGGGGGGGAGGGGGGGTGTGAGCTGCCCCCACCCCATCACCCCCAGTCCCGGAGGCACCCAGCGAGCATTGGGTGCACCGGGCTGGGGGTGCAACGGGAAAGAGGGACCTCTGCGAGGGGTTTGGGTGCCCCGGGGGGAAACAGCCAGGGGCTGCCACAGCCCCCCCGCCCTGCCCTGCTCTTAGGCCTGGTGGCACCGCTGTCCCCACCCCTCCTTCCCCCCCACCCCTGCCGTGGCGGTCCCCACTCACCGTGGCCGTGGGGAGCTCGAGGCGTGGGCAGGCGGTGGCCGCTGCCGGTTGTCTGCGGATGCTGCCGGAGCGCGGGGTGTCGGGGAAGAGCCGCCCGCCGTCTGTGTGAGCCGCCCTGCGCCAGCTGCCGAATGCACCACAAAGACCACCATAGCCCCCCAGTCCCCCCCCGCCCCACGGCACTGGTGACGGTGACGTCTCAAGTGTGTGAGGGAGATGGGGAACGCTTAACCCCCTGCGTGCCAGCCGGCAAACCTCTGCGGCCTGCCTAGGCACGGGCTCCGGGGCCCACTGGGGTGCTGCTCCCTGGTTTTGGGGGACGTGGGGACTGTGTCCCGTCCCCCCCCCCCCCCCCATCAGAGCCAGCCCAGCTCAGCCCCAGTGACCTCAGCCTGCTCTGAGCAGGGGGAGGGAAGCCCTAAATTTTCCTTTGCTCCTGCCCCAGCCCATGGACAGTCCCGCTTCCCCCCAGTCCCCTCTCTGGGGAGGGGGACAGCCACCAAACCCACTCGGTGCCACCGCCACAGGGCCAAACCAGATGCATGCACCGGGTGCCCCATTTTGGCCAGGCAGCACCATCCATCCCCCCTTGGCTCCCGCCGGACTGGGGCCAGGAGGGGTTTGGATGGCACGTGCCAGTGCAGAGCTGTTCCCACAGGGGTGATTTGGGAGATAGGAAGCAGGTGGGGAACCCCAAAATTGGAGTATTTCTGCTTTTCCACCCTGCACCCCCTTTTCCCAGGTCAGCACAGAGCATCATGATACGAACATCAAGAGTGACCCTGGGTGTTGTGGTCACCCCAGGTCCAGCGTGCCCAGTGGCACCCAGAAGTGTCCCCTGGGGACAGAGCGTGGGTGACAGCAGCTCCTTGCTCCTTTACAAGGGCATTTCTGCACAGGAAAGCACTGTATGGGTGCCCACCCTACAGCACCCCGATGCCAGCCAGGACACCCAGCACCAAGCCTCAGCCCTGGGGTGCAGCGGGCAGCGAAGGGACCTGCTCCGGGGACGTCAAGTGGCCGTGGAAAAGCTGAGGCTGCTGGTGAGGAAACACGGCTCAAAAAGAGGGATCAGCAGAAGAAATGGGCAGGCGAGGGAGAAATCCCTGGTTTGCTCCAAAACTCTCTGCAAACCACAGGTCAACCCCAAACGCTGCCCACAGCAGGGCTGGCACAGGGTGCCCCCTGGGCACACGTGCCTGTGGATGTGCCACCCGTGGAGGGGCTGTGCCCAGGGAGAAGCCACCCAGAGCCCACCCTGATGTCCCAGTGTGTGCCCATGGCCCACCAACCCTGTGCTTGGGCCATGTGGCTGCTGCCCAGTGTGTCACTGGAAAATGTTTTGGGTTTTTT